AGAAAATAGATTATCTTTTTAAATATTGAAAATCCGAATTCTTAAAAGAAAGGCAGGATGGATCTTCAGAGCATGTTTAAATGTATTCAACTGAGACAAACTGTAACAAAGCAAATCTCATTTTCTTTTAATGTTTATTTATTTTTGAGAGAGAGAGAACGAGCAAGCAGAGGAGGGGCAGAGAGAGGATCTGAAGCAGGCTCTGTGCTATCAGCGCAGAGCCCGACACGGGGCTTGAACGCACTAACCGTGAGATCATGACCTGAGCTGAAGTCAGATGCTTGACTGACTGAGCCACTCAGGCATAACAAAGCAAGTATCTTTTTATGTAGGTATTGTGTTTGGCAATGTGTGAGAGGAAAAAAGTGGGAAATGTATCTGAATTTTTCTCTGCAAAGTGGACAAATTAATTAAATTAGGCATTTTTTCCCTGTCACGTTGTCAAAAATAAAGACTTTATTAGGTAGCAAATATTACTGACATAATTCAAATGCATTTTTCTTCCCAATGGGGTACATAGGCAATTTCATTGCAGAGTTCTGAAATCATGTTTAATCTAATATGATTTAACTCTGTGTAGTTAAGAATTATCCTTACCCAAAGAGAGGCCTGGTCTTTATCCTCAGCTCCTATGGTATGATCCAAGTCCTTGGAATGTTCGGCCTGATAAGAGTACCTTTGTGTATCTGGAGCTTTGGGCCACACCAAATAGTCTAACAATGTGATTTATGGTGAGGGTTTTGGGCCGGGAGGTCTCATCTCAACATCTGGAGGGGCTATGGACTCAATAAAGGTCAGCCACACAGTCAACCATGTCTACATGACCCAGCCCCAGTAAAATCTGTGGACAATAAGGCTCAGGTGAGCTTCCCTGCCTGACAGTACTCCATGCATATCGTCATACATTGTTGCCCGGAGAAGTCAGTACAGTCCATGACTCCACCAGGAAATGACAACTGGTAGCTCACATCTGGAACTCTCCTGGATTCTGCCCCATGCATCTCTTTCCTTCATTGACTTTAATCTGTAGCCTTTCGTTGTAATAAATCATAACAGTGTAACAGCTTTCACTGATTTGTGTTAGTCCTTATATTGAATATATTGAATTTTCAGTCTGAGGGTGGTCTTGGGGACCCCTGAGCTTGTAACTGGTGTCAGAAGCAGGGTGGTCTTGGAGAGCCCTGATATCTACTGTTGGTATCAGGAGTGACTGCTGTCTTAGGAACTACCCCTCCCCAAACTTAAAAATTTTTTTAAATTTTTTTTAAATTTTTTTTTTTTTTTTTTTGAGGGAGAGAGTGCAAGCGGGGTAGGGGCAGAGAGAGGGAGACAGAATCTGAAGCAGGCTTCAGGCTCCAAGCTGTCAGCGCAGAGCCCGACATGGAACTTGAACTCACGGAGTGCAAGATCATGACCTGAGCCAAAGTCAGATGCCCAACCCACTGAGCCACCCAGGCACCCGAACCCCTCCCCAAACATTATAAAACTCCCCAAAATGAGATATCTTCTTATATATGAGAATATTTTGGTGAGATTTGGGTTGCACATTTTTACCAATGTGACAGTCATTCTGGCTGTTCCCAAACATTACAGGTTTCTCCTTCCTAGGCATGTGGTAAGGTTACATTTTCTTTACCCACTTAAAGGTAGGCATGGCCATTTTGACTAGCTTTTGCCAATAAGAGTGGAATTGACATACGGTTAGAAGCAGAAATTGCAGTATATTCATCCCACTCTCTCTTTCCCTTTGTGACAAAATGACAACTTGCTAGGTACTAACCACTCCATCCTCCTTGATCCTGGAGAGAAGACAACAGGGCCCAGAGCTTTCAGCTGAATTGTGAAAGAAATGTCGTATTACTGAGAATTAAACCTCTGTGGTGTTAAATCCCTGTGATTTGCAGTTGTTTGTTCCTGCAGAATAACCTAGACTATACTGATTCCCACTGCCAGAATCACTATCTGCTCAAAGCGTGACAAAATTACTACACAAAACTGCTGTTTAAAAAAAAAAAAAAAAATTATTCCTAGCATAATTCTGTGCTCCTTAGTTTGAAATGAAGTACAGTAAAACCTTGGTTTATGAGCATAATTCCTGCCCCAAACATCCTTGTCATCCAAAGCATGTGTATATCAAAGTGAATTTCAAGAACTATTGGCTCAGTTGTGATCATGTGACATTTGGGATCACATACCGCTGGTATTGCAAGACATCCCTTGTTTATCAAGTAAAATTTTATTAGAAATGTTTGCTCATTTTTCTTTTTATTTAGAAAAAAATTTTTTTACATTAATTTATTTTTGAGAAACAGAGTGAGACAAAGTGTGAGCGGGGGAGGGGCAGAGAGAGGAGACACAGAATCTGAAGTAGGTTCCAGGCTCTGAGCAAGCGGTCAGCACAGAGCCCGATGCGGGGCTCGAACCCACAAACTGTGAGATCGTGACCTGAGCCGAAGTCAGAAGCTCAACCGACTGAGCCACCCAGGTGTCCCTGAATGTTTGCTCATCTTGAGGAACACTCGCAGACCAAGTTTAGGAGAAAATCTTTGTGAATTTGGCTTAGGAAAAGATTTCTTAGTTTTGACATCATGATCCATAAAAGAACAAACTGATAAAGTGAACTTTACCAAAATTAAAACTTACGCTCTTCAAAAGAAGAGGAAAAAGTCAAGCCACAGACTGGGAAGAAAAGTAGTTATACGTCCTATGTAAGAGAGTCAGCAGTATTAACTCCACCTTTAGTGCTCTATTTGTTTGTTCATGTCCCATTGATGACTCCTCTCTCCCCCAACTGTTGGACTTCATGTCCTGGGACCCCTTGGAGATTAATATACTTACCTTAGAAATGCCCACCAAGGCCAGGATGGGGGGGGGGGGAGGCTTGCTTTGGCTCTCCTTGAATTTGTCTCTCCCTTTCCTGAATTTGTTGGAGATAGTCTCTCCCCTTCCTGTCATACAGATGGTGCCACGAGAGCTAATAGAATTTTTGATGCCCATTAAATGCACATAAACCCTCTGAAATACACATGAACCCTTCTATCTCACTACAGTGCCCTTCTGCCAGTTCCCTTGCATTATAAAATCTGTAGACTAAGGTCTACAGTCCAGACTTTACGGAGAATAATTGCACAGCTGGACTGTTGCCCAGCAGATCTTCCTTGTCTGTAAGTTACCCTGAAAAAAACCTCTGTGTTAACTGTATGGTGCGGCCTCCTTCATTTTTCAGTCTCAAAATGCATTCTTGGTTTGGGCAATACTTTCTAGTCCCTCCCCTAGCTTCTAACAGTCATATATCTGATAGAGGAGTTGTACCTAGAATATATAAACAATTTTCCAAACTCAATAATGAGAAAAGCCAACGTATTAAAATTAGGCAAAAGATTTGAATAAACTCGTCACCAAAGGAAATGTAAAGATAGTAAATAACTACATGAAAAAATTAACATTGGGTGGCCTGGGTGGCTCAGTCAGTTGAGCATCTGACTTGCTCTCAGGTCAAAATGTCACGATTCATGAGTTTGAGCCCTATGACAGGCTCAGAGCTTGGAGTCTGCTTCAGATTCTGTGTCTCCCTCTCTCTCTGCCCTTCCCTGCTTTTCTCTCTCTCAAAAATGAATAAACATTAAAAAAAATTTTTTTAAGTGTGGGTTTGGATGTGATAGAAATAGATCTCCAATAAACTGTAGGCAGGAATGTAAAATAGCCTCCTTGGAAAACATACTGCCAGTCTTTAGAAGATTAACATATGCCTTATATACAGCGCAGCTATTCCACTCCTGGGTATTTACCGAAGAGAAATGAAAGCATAACCGTATACAAAAATACATACAATAATGCTCACAGCGGCTTTGTTTTGTAACAGTCACAAACTAGAAATAATCCAAATATCCATCTTCAGGTGAATGGATACCCAAATTGTGGTATACCCACACAATGGAATACTACTCAGCAACAAAAATTACCTATGATACATCCAGTAACATGGATAAGTCTCACTACCATTATGCTGAGTGAAAACAGCCAGGTAAAAATACGTACATACTCTATGATTTGATTTGAGAAATCATTTGAGAAATGATTTTTTGAGAAATGATTTTTGAGAAATTTGAGAAAATGCAAACTAATGTATAGTGTCAGAAAGCTGATGGGGGAGGAGATGAAGGAAGGATTACGGAGAGGCATAAAGAAACTTTTGGAAGATATGCATATATTCATTATCTTGATTGTAGTGATTGTTTCAAGGATGTCAAAACTTACCAGATTCCATGCTTTAAGTATATGTGGTTTGTCCATTACACCTCAATAAAGCTGTTGGAAAAAAAAATCTGGGGAAACAATTTGTGTCAATTTGGAACTATGTTCATGAAAAGCAACAATGGAAGTTCCAGAATATTATGTATAGTCTGACCTCAGACCTAAAAACAAAACAAAACAAAACAACTAATGATTAAGAAAAAGTAATGAAATCCTCACCTCTGTGTCCTTTTTTGGTGTATGTATTGAAGCTCAGGTAGTTTACACAATGAAGGATTGCAGTGGTTAGCCCCAGGGAATGAGATGTGGCATAGGACAGGGAGGTAATATACACATATTTAACACCCAGCGGTTACCACTTTTGATATTTTAAGTTTCAGGTATTTGTATATGAATAAAGGTGTGCTCTTTTCTGGGAGTTTTTTTTTTTTTTTTCTAGAAACTGGAACTATTTGGTTGGGCGTCAGTTTTACGGCGTAGGTGGTCACAGAGGTGTAGCTAAAGAGCAGCAGGCAGACGACCTCCCACTCATCGCCTAGGGAGGCGCCCCGGAGATCGCAGAGCAGGTGCGCACTCGCGCGCCTCCCCCTCTCGAGAAAGGCGGGGCTAAGCGCATGCGAGGAGGGGCGGACGCGGGGCCTGGGCGGGGCTAGGGTGGAGGACACGGGCTGCTTCAGGGGTCTCGGTCCGCTACCTGGAGCCGCCAGCTCTGGGTGAGGGAGGGACACCGGAGCGCCGTCGGGGTGGGCCGGTCCTGTCGAGCAGCACGGCCCGGGGACGCCGCCGAGTCGCGCGCGCTGCCAGCCCCGAGGTTACGTGCGTGAAGGTAGCATTTCCTTGTGGGGGTCGCGGTGGTCTTCGAGGAGTGCGCCTCCTCCGGCTTAGAAGGAGCCGCGGGCCGGAGGCCTGGTCCTGCCTCCGGCGGCTGGAGACCCCGAGGCGCCGGCGGTCCCCGCGCTTTATTCCGGGCATGAGGAGGCGTGACCTGGCATCCCCGCGGGGGTCGCCCGAGGCTGGGGGGTGGCGGGAGCCCCGAGGAGCGGCCGCATCCCGGATCCCGGCCCCCAGCCGCCTCGCAAACCCGGCATTTGATTTGCCCCGAGGTGGGGTCGTCTGGCGGGTTTTACAGCCTCGGGTGGTTCGTTTCTCACGTGTGTGTCTTTCCACAGGGCCCTGCGCAGGACCCGCGTGCGCGAACTCAGTAATTTTCTTCCTCTGTGGAGGGTAAGCTTTGAGAGGGCCGTCCGCGGCCTCCCGCGGCCGTTGGGCGCGCACTCGGGGATATTGTTTTTACGGTAGTTGCGGAAAATGCGCAGTGGTCACGGGTCCGCGTGGTCGCTTTTGCGCGACTGCCGGGGGAGGGGGTAGGTTACGGGAGGGTAGCGGCGGAGTTTGTTTGCCATAAAGAGATGTCCGAGACAGAGGTAGACTTAGACCTTCCCCGCGACTTGGGACATTCTGCACTCAAAGGGGACTCGTTTTGTCTTGGCCCGTGTGCTCGGAAACTTTTCCCAAAATGTGAAGTTGAATGGATTAGGAGGATTTTCTCAGAAAAAAAAAAAAAAAAGTTGCAAAATGCTTTCTTGAATCCTTTGTTTTAACTGTTAGGTCCTGGACCCTCCCCAGTTCCAAAGGCTTCTCCTGGTCTGGGACCTGGCTTGCCTTTTCTCTTTCAGAGTCTGGCTGGAGAGGTTGGGGATGGGGAAGGAGAGTAAAAAGCTTACACAGCCCTCCCTCCTCCATCCAGGGATTCTAACAGATTGCCCAGTTCAGGTTCTATATAACCCTCTCCTTGCATCTCAAAAGGTGTTTTCAATCTACACATATTTTGAAAATTTCAGTTTTCCTATGAGTCATTAAAAGGAAACATGCCTATTTTAAAATTTAAAGTTTTTTTTCAATAAGCATATCTTAAGGGCACAGAGAGAGTTTTGAGAGAGTATAAAAAATTGCTAAATCAGTGGTGAGAACACCAAGATGCTGGAATCACTGCTTTAGGAAAGATTTTATTTGACGTAATACTTCTTTTTGCCTTACTGAACCCTCGATGATACTGTAATTGATTTTCATATTTTTTTTAATTTTTTTTTTTAACGTTTAGTTTTGAGACAGAGAGAGACAGAGCATGAATGGGGGAGGGTCAGAGAGAGGGAGACACAGAATCCGAAACAGGCTCCAGGCTCCGAGCTATCAGCACAGAGCCCGACGCGGGGCTCGAACTCACAGACTGAGAGATCATGACCTGAGCCGAAGTCGGACGCTCAACCGACTGAGCCACCCAGGCGCCCCGATTTTCATATTTTTTTGAAATTGCAGTTTTTAGATTTAGAAGGCAGCTGAGGTCATGTGGATTGCAAAGACTGTAAATATTTTTTACAATATTTCTAAAAAATTATGTTTTGTTTTCTACCTGGATGATAAACTCTGGGGAAGAAATGTTGGCCCTTAGCATAATTGACTCTTCCATTAGAAAGCCATGTGTTTTTTGGGTTGCCTGGGTGGCTCAGTCGGTTAAGCATCTGACTTCATCTCAGGTCATGATCTCACGCTGTGGGTTTGAGCCCCACCATCAGGTTCTGTGTGCTGACAGCTCAGAGTCTGGAGCCTGCTTCCCATTCTGTGTCTCCCTCTCCCTCTGCTCCGCCGGGGGGCGCCCCCCCAAAACAAATAAACATTAAAACAATAAAAAAATAAACAAAAAAAGAAAGCTATGTGTTTTAAAGCTGATCTTCAGCCCATCTGTCCAGGCTCACCTTCCTTGATTAGGATTTCAGACCCCTTAGCAGATGCCTTTTAATCTGTGGTAGCAGCAGTGAGATTTCTAGTTTGCTGTTTTAGAAAGCAGCTTAAATAAAGGACCTTTGATAATAATTTCTGTTCATTTTCATGTTGCTGCTTCCAACAACTTTCTCTAGGGTTTTAGGTAGTTTTGAATCTTCTATTATCTGTAATATTCACACAGTATTTCTAGCATTGTGATGACTGAAAACTTGAAACTTTCTAAAATACTTCCTATGTATTCATTTAACCAATTCTGGAAGAAGTGATGATGCAAAAGATAGTTGTTTCCATTGCTGCCACCAGATTGGCTTCAAGATGTTCGTTTAATGTCTTTGAGAATGTTCTTCTCAAGAATACTGTTGGAGATTTCTTAAATACTCTTAGAGGATCCAATTCACATGTTCACCTGTTCCGCCAAATTAGTAAAAATAACAAAAAAGGAAATTGGGTTAGGGTGATTAGGCCACTAAGTGGATTTTGAGTCATTGTTGCATTCTTTGCTGAATGCTAATAAATCTTTTCAAACTCTAGACTTGCACTGAAGATCAGTGTCAAGCTATCCTTTTTTGGAAGTTTGGTTTATCACTTGATGGGGTCCCATAGTCTGATTTTATGTTCTGTGGCTCACAATTCCAGATAGTCACTCTGAAACAGCAAACAAGTGTCCTCAGTATCCAGGGAAGTAGTTCATCTGATTCTGAAGACTCCAGTGAATTGATCGGTGATAGGTACTTACTTACCATCTTCTTAGGGGTTTTAGATAGTAATTCACTGTTGTGGTACCCTTGCTAGATTACTGCTGTATTCTCCAGCATACACAACGGCCTGCAAACACAGAATTAGTCAACTTGATACCTCAGTAAAAAATTTTCTGCAGTAAATAAAATTGTGTGACATCTGATGAGGGGACTACAGGTCATTTACCTTTCCCTTATTTGTGATATTCCTTTGAAAATGTGCCAGTAGCTCCTTTCTGCCTACTTCCGGAGTGGAATACAAAGTGGGAGAACCAGCCTTGCCATTAGCTTGTAAATAGTAGTTCGGATAGTAGTAGATCAAGGGGTAGTGGTGGGGAAATGAAATTGTGGATGTTAAACTCAAATACGTTTTCCCTATCTGTGTTCCAAAGCTCTGTGTTAGGAGTTGGATTCAGAGAGAAATTGAGAGCTGGCAGGTAGTAGATAGCAGCTATTAGAAATTTTTAGTGGATTAATAGATTGCCCCCCACCACCTCCTCTGTATAGTTGAATTTGGCTTATGAAAGTAGTAAGAATGCATTTATTTATTTATTTTTTACTTTACGACATTTATTCATGATGCCAAGGCAGTGAATTTTATCCCAATGTAGACCTGTTACTGTTTTCTTCTATGTGAATAGAATGCCTCTAACTCTGGTAGGTCACTGTGCCTAAAATTGGTCAGACCCCAAAGATGTTAGGAATGAATCGATTATGAATGAATCAGTTATATCTATCAACATCAGTGAAAAACTTAAAAAACCACAAAAGCATGTGTTAATAGGAGAGTAGTCAAATGATATTTGATAAAAATTTATGTCTTATTTAATTATCATTAGTGTAGTGGCATTATGTGCTCCTAAAAACTGGAACTGAAAGATTTAACACAGCCCATAAGCAACTACATAAAATCTTGGACTACTTAAACTTTCTGTAATATCTCTCCATACATGCTCATTAAAATATGAATTTTCAGAACTCTCTGATTGATCGTAGCCTTCTGAGTAGAACCTCTAGTCTAATTTTGAGTGGTGACATTCCCGCTAACCAGCCGAGTTGTTTTTATGGACTGGTTTCCTCCCAAGTAGAAAATAATTGTTTGGGAAACAATAATTGCTAAACAAAATCCTTCAACGTAATGCGATTGTATCTAAATATCCTAAGCATAAGAATTATTGGATTTTTCCTTATATATTCTGATGAATGTATTTTTGTGGTATTTTGCCAAGCTAGGAAGTGAAATCACATGGATGTTGGTGAGTACCCCATGGCAGCTGTTACTTCATGTGGTTCATTCAGAGTGAACTATAACTTGGAAGCCTCCTTTAGGTAAGAAAATTGGAGTTTGAAAGAGAAATCACCAATTCTTTTCAATGATCATGTATGTTTAGGTTAGAATTTTTATGTCATGTTTTCAAGCTAATAAAGATTAATTTGTCTTGCCTTCTAACATATATTTTAATGGTGCTCCCTGGAACTAGATTGTATAAAATTTATGATTTGTGGGGGCACTGGGTGGCTCATTCACTTAAATGTCCAACTCTTGATCTCAGCTTAGGTCTTGATCTCAGGGTCATGAGTTCAGGCCCTGTGTTGGTCCCCATCCTGGGTATGAAGCCTACTTAAAAAAAAAAAAACAAAAAAAACCCAACTTTGTGAGATGGGTTTTATACTCTGAAAATAAATGTACACAAGGATAAGGGAAATGAAATGTTATTTTTAACAGAATTACCGGTATTCATCTAATATCTGTTATTTCTGGTGATTATATCAGTGAATTGGCAATTTAATATTTTACTGAATAAACAAAACAATCCATGTTATGTAGAATCAGATTTAATGTGTAGCACAGTCCCTTTGTTTACAACTGCAAGGCAGTTTTCTAACCTGATACTTAGATGAAATTTTCATTTGACTTTCGGTTTCACTGCTTTTCCAGTGAGAGATTATATTAGCGACAACTTTTTTGGTGATAACTTGTAAGATTTTAACAATACATTCTGTAAGCTTACCAAATAAAACACGTACAGGCAAAATGTTTATAAATGTGCTCTCAATTTAGGATCCACTGTACATTCTTTTACCTTACTTGGGCCATTGGATTTCATTTTAGGGCATTAAAATTAAAGAGTAGGTCGGCCCTTTCAAAATAAGTGCATTTTGGAAAAAGAAAACAAAAATAAGCGTATTTTGAATAAGCTTTGAATTATTGGTGTCAGCAGTTTCATATATCTTATGTTATGTCACTGAACCGTTTCTCAGTCATGCGCATAACTGGTTGATTCATACTAAAATGTGTGTGGTAGCTCTTGAGATATAGCTTTGCAACTATTTTTGCTTTTCATTTTAGTTTTCCAAACCCTAAAGATGACATTTCATTTTTGTAGCAACTTAATAGGTCTGTCCTGCTTTTGGGATCCAACCTTCTCCTGTAATTAAGAAATGTTTCACATCATACAGAGATATATATATTTCTAATGTTCAGGGATGAAAAGAGGGTTAAATAGTCTACCAAAGTTAAATAAAGTTCAGAACCACTCTTAGCATTATTTTGCCTCTGAAATAATTGTGTGTGTGCTTAAACACTTTGGATTCTTACGTAGAATGTACACACAAGATAAACCTATATACTTGGGTATATCTGGACCTGAAATTTGCTGGAACTTAGTTGTGTCTCAAGCTGGCTAATACCTGGAGATTCGTCATGTCTTTTTGTTGGAGAAGACTACTCATTCCTTTGCTATTGAGCATCAGGTGCATTGCTTACAAGGCTCTGTCCCTGGTGTGTCCAGCTTCAGTAGAGCTCCTTTGTCCTGGGTGTCACCTGAAAATTGTGCTTCAATTTAAGAAATGAAATTAGTTCAGAAGAAGGCACTGGACAATTTAATATAACAACAATGACTGCAACAATGATTAAACCTTTACTATGTTCCAGTACTTAGGGTACTCTAATCCTCACAACAGCCTTATGAGATGAGGTACTGCTATTCTCCCTGGTCTTCAGACGAGGAAACTGAGGCTTAAATTTGCTCAGACAAGATTGCATGGTTAGTAAATGGCCCGGCTGGGACTTTTCCAGGCCTATGCTTTTGATTATGTTTTACTGTCTTTCAGAACCCCCAGGAGTTGTTAGCACAATTGCACTGTGATGCTTTCTTCTCTGTAGAAGTTAGTAGGAGTGCAGTAATTGACCAGGAATGAGCCTGGGACACACACTGCTTCCATAGACGTTTCCTTTTAGAAGCCTCCCCAACCACTCCCTCCCATTCACAAACTCAATCACATACCATTGCTTTATTCTTCCAGTGCGACTTGTCCCAATTTCAGGGATGGCATTTCTCATGCCATTTCACGATTTGACCATAGCTCTTTGAGAGCAAGTTCCCTCTTACCTCTATATCCCTAGCATGTCGCAGTACCTATCAATGCATGAAAGTAGATTGCTATTAAAATTTGTTAAACTGTTTTTCATTTTCTAATGTTAATCCATACAATTAGAAGACACATGTCTAGGAAATGAGGCAAGTGTTATCACTTAACATCTTTTAATGTTTACAGAATGAAGAGGAACAGTTTATCTGTTGTGAATAAAATTGTCCAGTCTTCACCAGCAGTGAAACAACCAAAAGTTGGGTTCTACTCTTCTCTCAGCCACACCCACATGCACACTGTTCTTCTAGACTGGGGGAGTTTGCCTCACCACGTAGTATTACGCATTTTTCAGTATCTTCCTTTAATAGATCGGGCCCGGGCATCTTCAGTATGTAGGAAATGGAATGAAGTTTTTCATATTCCTGACCTTTGGAGAAAGTTTGAATTTGAACTGAACCAATCAGCAACTTCATATTTTAAGTCTACACATCCTGATCTCATTCAGCAGATCATTAAAAAGCATGCTACCCATCTCCAGTATATCAGCTTTAAGGTAAGAAAAGTGTTAAATAGAAACGACTTGCATTTTGTTAATGTCATTTTTTTTGTAGATCTAGATCCCAATATTGAAGCGCTCAGTGAATTTTGCAGGATTTTTATTCTGAACAATTTCCTGTTTTTCTGTAGTTATTTGCATAGATTGAGGTAAAGAACTTGAGCTATAACTTAAACTTCATTTTGCTTCCTCTGGATTGTACTACTAAAATTCAGGTCATCGTAGAGGATTTGAAAGCATGGAGCACCTAAAAAGTTACTGTGTCACTAGCTCTATTTCTCACTTTTTGTCTGAGACCTTTTGTATAAAGAAAAAATACTAATTTGTTTCATAGCTTGACAGGATAAATACAGTTTTGCAATTGAATTCTGTTAAATAGTTCTATTGCCAATAATTTTCTGATAACTTACCTTCAGGAGATTAAGATTTAAAATTGTCTTTGTAGGTTGACAGTAGTACTGAATCAGCAGAAGCTGCCTGTGATATACTTTCTCAGCTGGTAAACTGCTCTCTCCAGACCTTGGGCTTGATTTCGACAGCCAAACCAAGTTTTATGAATGTGTCAAAGGTAAAGATGCCAGGCTTTTTTGTGAGATAAACAAAAGTTCTCAAATATTTCAATCTAGGCAAAAAGGATTCTTTTACTAAAAGTAGATGGTGTCTTCCTTATATTCAGAGAGTTACTTGAGGCAGTTTTCTCTTGACTAGCACGTATTTTTGCTGAAATAGCTTATGCATGGTTTCATTCTTTACATATATTTTGTAATTTTAATAATTGTTTCTACAGTAGCTATCGTTAATGTAAAATTCAGATGTTGTACTTAGGATTTTCAAGTGCCTTACTTAGTTTCTTTGAATATAGAGTGTGTATGGCCAATAGTGGATGTTTTTCTTGTAATTCTATAGCTTCTGCATTGGAGGTAGAACAGCATAATTCTAAATGAACTATACCAATTAGGATGATATTGGTTTCTATAAAATAGAAACTCTAAAACGATAGTAGCTTACACAACATGGCTGAAGTTTATTTCTCTTACATTAAAGAAATCTATGCATGAGCATAGCTGGGTGAAGCTGTTGGGATCTCGAGCCCCTTCCATGCATTCCATTTTCTTTAAGGCATTTTCTTCATTTTCACAGTCCAAGATGGCTTTCTGAGCTCCAGCCATCACATCCTGTTCTAGGCAGCCAGGTGGAAGAAGTGGGGAAAGAAGGGTACGCCCCCTGCTTTTCAAGGAAGCTAGCCATGAGCACCACATAATGCTTCTGTTGGTATCTCAGTGGCCAGCACTTCGCTGTGGGGCCACATCAGGTTTCTGTTTGACGAGGAATATTTCTTAGCTCGCTGGTAATGTGCCCAGCTAAAAATTGAGACTGGATTACCAAAAAAGAAGGGATGAATGGTTGTTAGGAAGCAGTCAACAGTCTCTGCTGCATAAACTAGTAACTGTCTTCATTCAGGCTTCAGCTTGGATGCCATCTCTTCAGACAAGCATTCCTTGACCAATTTTGCTAAAACAGTGCCCCCTCCCCCAGTTACACTCCACTATATGTCAGTGTTTTCTTTATAACATTCATCAGTGCCTGAAATTACCTTATTTATTTAGCATGTTCATTCTCTTCTCCTAGAACAAAACATAAGTTCTTTGAGGGCAAGGGTTCTATTTTGTTTATTTACCACTGTAAACCTAGAGTTAAGTAGTGCCTGGTATATAATAAACACTAAATTATGGGTGCCAGTAAAACCGGCTAATGGAAACCTTCCTGTTGAAGAGGACCGAGGAATAGTAGCATCTTCTCTCTCATAAACTGGGTCATGGCTCTCAAGCATTTCCACTAGCTTGTTTATCTTTTTAAGAGATAGGGAAAATGGGTCATTTGGGGATTAGAGTAATATAAGCCATCCGATGGAAACTTACTACTTCTAAACAGTTATTTCCTTGTATATGAATGATGGAATCAGATTAGCCTGAAATTGTTAGATTCTAAGCTGTCTCAAATGCAGCACATCAGCTTCTTTTCTGGGTAAGCTGATGCAGTCACGAGGGTGAGGCAACAGTGATTAGCAGACTTCCTTTCAAGCTCTGCCTTTACAGTTAAATGAGTTGAGTGGCTTCCGGTAAAGTTGTGTATCTCTCTTGAGTGTCAATTTTTTTCACTTGTAAACTGAGGAAATATAAAATACAAGGACAGTATTTTGTCAGGCATAGGCGTAGAGAGTGCTGAAGGAATATATGGATACGATAATGAAGTGTGTACTCCAATGCTTAAAAACATCCTTCAGGACCATAAGGGTCCATTGAGAGTTGATGAAAGGGAAAGTAAACCTTAAATTTCTTAAGGAAAACGTGATGTATTTCTCTAATAATTTTTGGCACAATAAAATTTGGTAAAGAGATCTAGCTATCCACCATTTAAAAATTTATATACATCAATTTACAATTAGTATAAACCAGTGTGCTTGATTACAAATGAACTGAGACATAACCAATTTGGTCATTCTTTTTTTAAAAATTTTTGTAATGTTTATTTATTTTTGAGAGAGAGCACGAGCGGGGGAGGGACAGAGAGAGAGAGAGACAAAGAATCTGAAGCAGGCTCGAGGCTCTGAGTTCTCAGCAGAGAGCCTGACATGCCTGACAGTGCTCAAACTTACCAGCTATGAGATCATGACCTGAGGCAAAGTCCAAAGTCCGTTGCTTAACCAACTGAGCCACCCAGTGGCCCCTCCAATTTGGTCATTCTAATAGGAGTAATAGAACCTTTGGCAGAATCTGGATGGACTTTGAAAAAGGGAAAATGATCATGCATGGATTTGGCTTTCAGACTTTCTATCTGTCAAAAATTTTGAAATTGTATGCATTTTAGAGTCTTTAATTTTCCACAAAAGGTGTATCACTAAAGAATAAGATTATTTATTTATTTACTCATTCATCAACAAATATTTATTGATCTCCTCCTATGTGCCAGATATTATTTTAGGTAGTAGAAATACAGGAGTGAATAAACCAGATGAAAAATTTGTTTATTCTATGCCAGGGGTTGAAAAGATTCAGTCAGTCAGTAGTTTAGGCTCCACAGGCTGTAGTTCTGCAGCTACTCATCTCCAGCATGGTAGTGTGAAGGCAGACACGGACAGCATGTAAGTGAAGGAGCACAGCTGTGTGCCAGCCACACTTTAATTGTGAGTACTGGAAGTTTCATATAATTTCCACATGTCACAAAATATTATTCTTTACAAAACTTTTTTCAGCCGCTTAAAAATATAAAAACCATTCTGAACTCAAGAGACATACAGTAACATACTAGGTTGGATTTGGCCAGCAGATCATAAGTTGCTAGCCCCTCTTCTAGGAAATAAATATAATTATATCCTTTTAATATTGGCAATCACATTCTTAAGATGGAAGATAATTGGAAGATGTGTGTATGAAATTTTGGAAACATTCTTCCTTTCTTGCCATTCTATTTATCAATTGTAAAAGTATGAAAGTATACTTTGTCTTCTACTGACTAATGGTGTCATGAAAAACACTAATATGTTGATTGCTTTCACTGTGTTTTTGTTAGTGTTGATATAAGTAGTTTTAATGGCCTATTTGATTGAAGCTCTAGATGTTTAAATAATGTTTCCACAATTCTTTCCTTATTGCCGTGCAAGTCTCATTTTGTGTCAGCACTTACGGTTGTTTTTGTCAACTCAAAATCATTATCATCGATCAAAATTGAAGATACACCAGTGGATGATCCTTCACTGAAGATTCTCGTGGCCAATAACAGTGACACTCTAAGACTCCTAAAAATGAGTAGCTGTCCTCATGTTTCATCTGATGGTACACTATACCTTTTTAAGCTTTTTTGATGTTTTTTTTTATTATACTAATAGTAACAATGTAATTTCATACTGAAAAGTACATGCTTATGAAACAATTGAAAAAGTAATATTTTTTCAAAAGAAGTCTTAATCTGTAAACTAGGCATAGTTTAAATTGCATCTAAAAGTATTTTAGTCATAGATGTATTTTATTATACGTATATTTTTTATTACTGCATATAATTGTATGCCTGTATCTTGGCATCCATCTCAGAAATAATTTCATGTCTATTTTGGCAAATAATGAATAACTAATGTCAAATTTAGATTTATGAAATGTTGTATTAGTATCAGTAATTCTTGGTTCTTAAAAGTTTTTCCCTGTTTCCTGCAGGAATCCTTTGTATAGCTGACCATTGTCAAGGCCTTAGAGAATTGGCATTGAATTATTACATTCTAAGTGATGAACTTCTCCTAGCCCTTTCAAGTGAAACTCATGTTCGCCTTGAACATCTTCGAATTGATGTTGTGAGTGAAAATCCTGGACAGGTTGAATTTCACACTATTAAAAAACAAAGTTGGGATGCACTTATTAAACACTCCCCTGGAGTTAATGTTGTTATGTATTTCTTTTTATATGAAGAAGAATTTGAGGCATTCTTCAGAGAAGAAACCCCTGTTACTAACCTTTATTTTGGTCGTTCGGTAAGCAAAGCAGCTCTAGGCCGGATAGGTCTTAACTGTCCACGACTAATTGAGTTGGTGGTATGTGCTAATGGTCTTCAGACTCTTGACGATGAACTTATTTGCATTGCTGAATGCTGTAAAAACTTAACAGCCTTGGGCCTCAGTGAATGTGAAGTGAGTTGCAGTGCAGTCGTTGATTTTGTAAGACGGTGTGGGAAAAGGCTGACCCACCTCTCCATAATGGAAGACGTTTTGATCCCTGATGATAATTATAACTTAGATGAAATTCACACTGAAGTCTCCAAATACTTGGGAAGAATATGGTTCCCTGATGTCCTACCTATCTGGTAATTAGCTACCAAAGATTCTTAATTTTTTTTTTATTGGTAAGATAAGCTTCTTTCTGTCTATGCAAATGTAAATTTTAAGATGCATTGTTGAAATATTTTAGGTAAGGTATATTAACATTTGCAAACTGTCTTAATGGATTGCAGCAAAAACATTTGAAAAAAAAGTAGGAGAAATTTTAAGAGCGAGAAATATCCATAAACAGGGCTTAGATCCTGTATTGTAGATTAGGTAGCTGATATGCTAAACCCTATCAATGGTTTGTAGATGAGTTCCTCAGCCTTCCTCGAAGGGATATTTTAGCTTGCTAAATAAATTTATAATATTGAGCTTCGGATCCCTAAATTATGATGTTTATAACTTTATATTGCTTTAATTACTTCTCTTTTATCTTGGTATTAGTGTGTTTTACAAGATATGTAGTATTAAAAACTAAGAGTAAAATAAAAGTATAGTTACAGAGGCTGACTTAATTGTACTTAATTTTTAGCACTATATAAGATCATATTATAATTCAGTAAACCATTTCTAATTTCTAATACACTTTGAATTCTACTTTATTACATTAGCTTGAGAGAAAATGCGCATTAGAATAAAATTAATACTGATCAATTTAATAAAAATATTCCAATTGTTCATTGATTAAATATGCTTCTGAAAATTTTAAAAAGTAAATTTTGCAGAGTGTCTCTGGGAGGGAATCAGCATTTACTGACCTAATCCTCTGTATCTAGAATTGTCCCAGAGGTCCTTTGCAGAAGTGATCTTCTAATTTCATTAGTGACACAACTAAAACTCTTTAGTAGTTATGTATTGACTTGAGGGTGAAGATATATGCTTAAAATGACCTATAAGACCCTACATAGTATGGCATCTCCCCAATTGTACCAAACTTCCCCTTGGCCCTTCTCCATTGTCTTTCACTTCCTTAAGACTGCCATGCACTCTCTAGTCAGAGGGCGTGAGGATGTGTTCTTCTTTCTGCTTAGATTACTGTCTTTGCTCCCTCAGATCTTTCCTTTAGATGTCATTCCTTCAGGGAAGCTTCTGACTTTCCACACTCTGTGACTTCTGTTTGTGGCACTCACCGTTATTGAAATTTGCCATTTGCTTCTATGATTATTATCTGTTAATTTTACTGCACTGTAAGCTTTATCAATGCAAGATCACTGTTGGGTTTTGCCCACTGTTGCATCCTAGCATGTAGCATAATACTTAGCAAATAGTAGACTCTCAGTAAATTTTACTTAGGTACTTGCATTTCCAGACTTGTTCCCTTATGCCTTCCCTTGATATCTTGTTTCTTTCTCAGAAAGCAACTTAAAAAGTTGCTTCATCTAAACTTAAAGTAAAAAGAAAAAAGAAGTGTTTATTACTTTACAGTTCTGAACATTTTTTAATTAGGAAAACATTTTAAATATTCTCACCTGTTAAAGAAATTAGAATAGAATACATTGTGGTTTGTACGTGGTAGTTTTTTTAAAAAGAGCATATTTTAGATCTGCCTTTTTTAGAGCGTGTATTTGTGCAAGCATTCTCAGCCCTGCCCCCGTGTTCTTTCTCAGGGCAAGCTGTGTAAGAGCGGGCGTCTTACCTCATTTACTTTTGTGTTTGAGACTCTCAGACTGGTGTGTGGTACATTAGTATACCCTCAGTAAGTGGGAGTGGAGCTCATATACTGGTTAAAAAATAAAACCAGTTTCTTAAAGACAGTTGTTACTATTGCAGAGCATGTCCTTTATACCTTACGATTCCAGGAGACTACAGAAGCGGCATATAAGAAGGCACTCAAAGTCTGGTTAGGATAACGGGACAAACATAAAGGAAATAGGATAACCAAGATGGAGGGTCGGGCTGGTTGAAGATCAGAGTAATGGTGGAAATAGTGAAGAGGTAAACTTTCGGTCTCATCGGGTATTACTCTAACATGACATGGTGGAGGAGTCAGGGAGGAGTATATATACCTGAATGGTAAGGTGGTGGGATGCCAGTGGTGGTTTCACCAGAGAGCAAAGAGAGGGACTAAAGAAGGGAGATCAAGATGGGAGTTTCTCCCTGTTACCTACTAACGCAGAACGATAATGAGTACCAGTGGCCTCTTTTACAGTTGCTGCTGTAATTGGTGGTTTTTAGGGACCCAGTAGTCAGACGTAGTGAACTAGACAATAAAATAACCCTTACAAAGACAACTCAGTAAAATTGATCAGCTTAATTACATGACCCTGGTTGGTCTGACTTTTATTGGCTTTATAAATTGAATAGCAAACATTTTTAGGATAGCCAAAATCAAGACAAGAAAATACAGAGTATTTTTGATGCTTTATCTAATGAAGATGTCTCCATTTACTTTGGAAGCCTATGAAAAGTACTGTTTACTTAAGATTAGAGGATTCTAGATTAAAATGGCCACTTATCTTGTCCTTCCATTAAATTACCTTCCTGCAGAAAACTCAGAACATTTTGTAAGTAAAAAGTAATTTTGTTTCCGTTACTAATTTAGTCATCAAACCTGACACAATTTTTGAAGTATATTTTGCTATCATTTCACAAAGGAAAAATAAGTTATTTAGTACTATCACTTTCCTATCATTTGAACCTTAACAATACTTTGAAGATGTTGACACCCAGATCTAAAAGGAAAAGGAAATTAAAAAACAAAACCTTCTGATGCACCAGAGGGCGCTGTATTCTGGTTCTTCATAAGAGTAATCCTTGGGTCTAAAGTTTGCATTTCCATTCAACAGATATGAGAGTGCTTATCCAGTTCTAGGCAGAAGGCAGCGTTCTTGGGGAAGCTCTCAGTTCCAGGCAATGAGTTTGGTCTTTTAAACAATCGCTTAGGAAGGTTGATTATTTATTGTTCAAACATTTTAGGGCTCCTTTAAAAACTGTCTTTGAAGTCTCCATGCTATTGCCTATTTTGTGTTCTCAGTGGGAACACAGTCTTTGTCCTTTGAAAGCGAATTTAATTTCCGGAAACAACCTAAAGTTATTTGGCCATAAGGAATCAATAAGGTAGATGATCCAACCAGAGAGTGTTGGTTATAGGTTTTGTTTTAACTAAGAATCAAACTCTTGTTAGCCTTGTATGAAGTGTCATGATACGGTAGAGAATACTATCACCTGGATGTGAGGATAAACCAGTTGTGTAGTAGAGACTCTGAACTGAAGAGTCTTCATTAACTCCTCGTTCTTCTTGACCACCCACCTTCACGTCTTGTTACCAGTATAACATATCAGAATAAATACTCATGAAATCACCCCCCAGCTCTAAAATGACAACAATGACATAACAAGAACTTAAATTTTTCTGTGTGGTTTCCCTTATTCACTTCTGAGATAATTAGTCTTCATTATTTGCTTGATTTCCTTTTTGTATATTCTTACCACACTTGTATGTGTTCCTAAAAATTATGTTTTGGTTTTAATTATTTTGACTTTCTAAAAAGAGTATCATATTATATGTAACCTTAAGTACTTGTTTTTACTCAAAAGTATATTGTTGTGATTCATCCATTTTGTCATGTTTAGCCGAGGCTCATTTATTATGACTTCTAGACACTATTCCATTCTGTGCTAAATCACACAGTTCATTTGTTCATATCAGCTGTCCACGGGGATGTGAGTTGTTCAGGTTTTGCCATGACAAATAGTTATATTATGAACATTTGTATGTACATGTCCTAGCATACAAATGCAGCTACTTCTCCATTAGTAAAGTTCAGTTAATTACGTTTTCCATTAGTACATCTGTAGTAAGAATGGAATCTTCTCACTGGAATTCCAAAAGGATTTAAGCAAAAATTCGTGAAAAGTTTCCAGAATGATAAATCAACCTACTCATTTCTCACTAACTAAAATCCAGGGAGCCAGTTATTTCTGGTCCTTTGAATAGTTGTATGGTCTTTTTTCCCCTTCCTACCTGTTGTCAACATAACTAAGGAAGAATGATCTAGATTTAAAGTGATGTGTAGAGGGGCACCAGGGTGGCTCAGTGGGTTAAGCATCTGACTCTTGATCTCAGCTTGGGTTGTGATCTCAGGGTTGTGAGTTCAAGCCCCACATTAGACACTGTGCTGGGCATGAAGCCTACTTAAAAAAAAAAATAAAGTGTAGAAATAAGTGGCTACGATATGCATATGGCTAGATGAGGCTGACTGACTTGGTTCCAGGAGATACTTCACGTTAAGATAGACCTCTTTCTCATTCCAGTGCTTCCTATAATGTGCTCTTGCTGAAATTGAGACTACTAATATATTTTCTTGGAATGCCATCATTTATGATTTAGAAAATCTTGTTGATATAGTGTGGGGAAGTGTGGTTGTGCAGACCAGCAAACTCTGTCTTAATCCATGCAAGCTCCTCACCCTGTGACCAGTTTGACATACCTGAGGATATTGCTTTGCTGAAACTTTTCAATACCTTAACTAAAGTTTAATTCTCATTTGTTCACTCAATATTTGTGCATGTGTGTCTAGCATTGTGCAACATTCTCTTCTTGTACCAAGAAAATAACTTCAGCCTTTTTCTTATTTTCAAGCAGAAAGGTAGCTAGTTTTAGAAGTACCAAAAATGCAGCCTGGATAGCTGGAAGTCATGTTTGTTAATCCTATGTATTGAAGACTAAGGAAATGTAAACAAACAAGCAGAACCCCTCAGATCCCATATGTAACAGAAAAATCAGAGAACTCTCAGAAATTAGTTGACAATCAAAAATCAGAGTGGCAATGAGTTGAAATAAAACACTATTTTCTATTTTGCACTCATCATGTTTTTATTTGGACACAAATTTCTTGAAAAGTAGGATATGCATCCACGTTTTTAAGAAGATGGTTTTCTATTTAGAAGATCTGGTCATCTGTCTTCTACTTAGAGATATGCAGTAGGATCACTCAAGTCACAGTTTTCAATATGTATATGGGATTGTATGCCAGGATGAACTTTCTGCAAGGGCAATACAGTTCCCAGTTTTTCTCCCTTCTTGATGGAACCTTTATATTTAATTGGCTTAATATGGAACATTTTTATACAAAAACCTAAAAGAAAAGAAATTAAATTAGTTTTTATCTGGGTTTTAGTAGCCTTGAATCAGAAATTCAAAAAATAACAGAAATGGAAGAAAAGACAAAAAAAATGAGTTGATTGAACTCAATGAGGAAATTGAGGAAGATGACAAAATCATACCAGAAATGACTAAAATTACAAGATGCCGAAGGGAAAACAGATTCATATGAAAATTTAATAAAGACATTGAGGAATAACAGAAAAACGCTAGCTGAGAAAATTGAGACTATTAACATATTTTCTTGTTCTCACCCAGAACAATTTCAACTCTAAGACATATTCTTATAAAATGATGAGACTTTTAAAGACAAATAAAAGTGGACATAATTGGCACAAGATTGAAACTCTTACTAAATACCCAAAGAAAATAATTTTAAAGACAAAGACCCACCAAATAGATTGGT